TCTTACAAGATAAGACGAGGGACTTATAACCGACGTAAGGAATGCATTTAAATCGGTCCATTGTGAGGAGGAAAGGGAAGGAATGGAAGCGAGCCGAATAAATATGGTTCTATCCAAAACTGGAAAGTGATCGTATCGACGAAATTTGTTGAAGTTCGCTTTCCTTTACCACTTTATTTCTCTCCTTTTTTGTAATATTAAAATTTTTTAAATTACAACGAAGAATTATTGGAAATAGAGGGAGATGATCTCTATCTTATTAGGATCATTCATCAAAAACGAGTTAATAAAATGGGGCTCTGTAATGGATGGACTTTCTCTCGACACGCGCGCGCTGACAAACGAAATTGGTACGACGTAAGAAAGGATCGTGGAATCGATCTATCGATAGATCTGGATCTGGTCAGTTTGGAGGGACCTGCGGTTAACAGGAGAGCTAACATGACTGACGTCGCCTTAATGAGATCCGTCACAATGCAAAGACACGCCGCTGATGACTCACACTGCAGGAAGTCTGCCCCGCGCGAGCCAAGACCGGATGTCTTCGGCTCTTTAAATTGGCACGAGGTGAAACGAAGTCAGTGACATTGCCTTCTCTCCACGGAATTTCCGATCCTGATCGTTGAATTTTCAATTTCTCTCCTTTATCTCCTAGCGATTAATAGAAACTCTAAATTCAACAAATACACATATATTATATCTTTCTCTATATTATTATAATATAATTTATCATATTTAAAAAAAAAAAAGTAAATATTATATTATCGCTTATTCTCCAGTTTCTTTAATTAAATTTGCAATTTTTCAAAGTCAAAAAAATAACTTGATTGACTTTCGCCAAGTTAATTCGCTTCGCGAGGCAAATTTGATCGCGGTAGAAACTTAAGATTCGTCGATGAATCACGCACACCGAAACGAATTCATTCTCTCCACTCGCTCTGCTCGGCCTTCATTCATTCATCGAACTGGTGTATGTACGAATTCGTAAAAGTTTATCGTATCTCGTTTCTGGTTGCGGGGACGATATATCGATTTTATTTCCTGCTCTATCCTTATCCTTATAAAAAGGAGCACGAACGTGTTACGCGAGAAAAGCGCGTCGTGTGTCGATGACGAAAGAACGAAGGAAGTTTTTCTTTTTTTTTTTCCTTTCTTTCTTTCTCCTCCCTTCTTAAAATTTTTTGCGATTTTAGGCGAAGTGGTACAAGGTGAAACGATCGTAATCGAGCAAAAAAAAAAAAAAAAAAAAAGAAAGAAAAAAAACGTAACGGAACAATTTTAACCGGCGGAGATCGCGTGTCTATCCACCATATTCATCTACATTTCTAACGATCAATTGCGGGAGAGAAAAAGTTCTCGCCTGTTCTCAAGATCGTCACGATTATAAATTACGATGAACGGTCTGCTAATTGAATACTGAGAAAGTTACATTATTGTTCCATTAACAACACACCATCTGTTCGTTTCCCTGTGCCACGTTTTTAAAATTTTTTCCCGTTTCTTCGATACTTGATACACGAAATGTATAAATCTATTTATGATCCCGCCATAAATCGTTCACGGCAATTAGTCTTCTTAAATATTAATTTTATTTTTTGGCGTATATATGGTAAAGTTTGTGGCAAAAAAAAAATTCTTTCCCTCGATTTGATTTATCGAGCAAGATTTATCCAACAAAGTTGGATAACAAATTGTTCAAAATTATCGTTTGATAAATTTGATGTAATGGTAATTCAATAATTTTACGGCTGGTATAATTCGAAATTACGCAACGATTTCAATCTTGCACGTTACGTGTATTATATCTCGAATGATATAATAACGTTTGGTTAAAAAGAAAATTGATACAACCAAATAATTCGACACGCGTATTAAAAAGCGACATTCCCTTAAAATAATAAAACAGATTTACTCTATCTAAATCAAATTATTTCTTTCCATCAATCAAATGTTTCCATCCGAAAATCAAATGAATATATTTCCACAAAACGGATAAACTATTTTCCACATTTAAAAAAAAAAAAAAAACTAACAAAAATTTATTCAATAAAATCACGCTTGATTTACTTTCCACTTACGTTTTACTTAAATAAATAAATAACAAAAATCCCATACTCAAAAGTTACACGAGAAAAAGTTACACTCCGCGAACTTGTTTGGTGAAAAACAACTTATTTGGTGAAAAAGGTATTCGACCATTGTCCGCGTTTCTATTTTCTTTCCCCATTTCCGAGCGTCGAAAAGTTTACAGCGGGAGCAATGGATCCCCGACTGACCTCCGGCTCCGTTCAATGAAAAAAAAAAAAAAAAAAAAAAAAAAAGAAAAAAAAAGGAAAAAAGAGGGAAATATTCGGGGACGAATTCCACGCTCGGTCCAATTTCTTCGGGGCGGCGCAAACTGCAACACTACATTAGAGGAATTGTCTGGATCGAGCGCGCCTTGGAGCGTTGCCAAAGGCGGGAGATTACTTCGTTGATTCCTTCCGGGCCCCACAATTCGATGCGGCCGTAATTGCCGGGCTTCCGTGCCAAATTTACAGCCGTCCCGTTTCGCCGAAAAGATCTAGACATTTTATAGAGAGTGTACCTTGGCACGTTGTGCATATACAGCGATATAATATTCATCCCCCACCCCGCGCGTTGTCGTGGATATTTTTTTTTTCCTCGAAATCATTACTGCCGCATAATGAGGGCTCGTGAGAATTTTTTAGAAGAGTATTTATGGAAAAAGAAATAAATTGTACGTGTTCCATCATGTGTTATTTTGGTAAAAATTTGAAAATTAAGATTTTTAAATAACCTTCGTTGATTCTTTCGAGATCTTCTTAAAAAGAATTGTTTTTATATTATTATTTTTATTTTATATTTTTTTTTTTTTTTATATTTTTATTTTTATCTATTTTATATTATATTTAATATTAATTATCGGTGATGGAGATTCGATATCTCCTTTTTTAAAAGAGATAAGGGTATCAAAGTATCGCTAATGCTCGGCCTTTCAATATAATTTTGAATTTAAACCGAGAGAAACCCGAAAAATAAACTAAAAAAAGAAATTTGGAACGAGTGAATTTTAACTGTTTTTCTCTGTCCCCTCGAATGAAATAGAATTTAAAGAATTATTTTTCAACAAAGTTTTCACAGGAGAAAACAATTTGTTCTTCCGAAACAAATGTGTTTCGCGTCAAAGTCTTTGCGTCGATGCAATCATGCCCCCTTCGCTCATAATTCTTTCCAGAAAGCTTACCCTTCGAGGGTATAACACACCCTTTACAACTGCACCCAGCGGCCACGTGGATTTTTGCGGACGGGATTCCTTCACCGGTCTGCTGATGACCAAAGGGAAGAATAGAAGGGAGGACGTAAATCAATTAGGCGGACGACGTGCTAGTTGTTGATACAATAAAGAGAAACGTGACGTTGCCTTATGGGAAGGCAGGAAATGAGTAACGAGAAGGGTGAATCGAAACGTGTCGTGTTGAAAATTAACGTTTCCTCTCGTATTATTCTTCGTGCCTCGTTCAAATCATCCTTCCCTCCTTAACGCAAACATTCCATTTGACGGATCTCGTTTCAGATCTCGTTCTCGAGAAACTTTTCTTCCCTTTTCACTCTCTGTTCAAATAAAATATTGGATATTTAATTTTAAAGTTTCGACACACTTGTAAAAATTATCTCCTAATTTGTTTAAAAATGTAGAGCGTTTGAAAGAAGTTCTTTTTTTCATCCAATTCTTCTTTTCATTCAGAATCAATTCTCTAAAAGAGTGTCACATATTTTTAGCAAACACTCTAGGCGACCGCGAGCGCGGTTATTTCAAGAGTTTACAGTGATGCTAATTGAAGGAAACGATAAGCATACGTCGAAATGCGCATCGGCTCAAGGCATTTTACAAATCGATTCGCGATATTTAATTGATTTCGAGAGGCGCTAATTGGTGAACGTCGATACGTGTTTAAACGGTAAAGTTATTCCTCGAACCGGGAAATAATGTAACTAAAGTGTTGCCTCAACGCCCCGTCCGTCCGCAGTATCGATAGTATGCACAGCACTCGAGTTTACGCGAAAGTTTCGCGAAACGAGGATAACGGTACCACGAACTCGACGAGTGTTATCGTTCTTCCACGTAATCGTACAGATAAGAGTTTATCGCGGGAAAACAGGTAGTACACAAAGTGTAATTCCCCTACCCCTCCGTTCTCGAGAAAACGAGAAAATAGGTTGATCGATCAAACCTTGAAAAAGGTAGATTCGCAAATGAGCGAGTCGATAAATAATTTTATTTATAACTTCCGTTTTTTTTTTTTCGATTACGAATGGACGAAATAACTCGAGGAATTGAAAAAAAGCTATTTAGAAAATTAACGAATGACTCTTTTCGTCATTAAAATTTCGAAAAATTTCAATGTCACGTAAGCATTCCATTTTTATGAACCAATAAACTGAAATTGTATCGTAAAATTTAGCAACGATAAATACGTTAGAATTAAATACACGACCCGTCAATCTATACTTATTATGATACATATATAGCTGATAGAGTGTTAAGAGTTATGTTTTCTTGTTAATATTAAAAGAATTTTTCACGTTATAATTGGATATTTTATACCATAATATATAAAGATAACTGTATATGATAACAAATTGAATAACCCGAAGGAAAACAATTTCTCAAACAACTAAAAAATCCATTTCTTCTGGCACACTTTCCAACATATTATTATACAATTCCATTGACGTATCAATAAACCGACTAAACACTACCGTACTAAAGATAAACTGCCTATTTTTAACTCATCTAATCAACCCCAAAAAGAAAAAAAAAAAAAAAAAAGAAAAGATTCCTTCTTCGCAATATCCCAAATAAAAATCCATCCACATATATAAGAATCTTAATAAACTCTTGCTTGAAATAAATCTTAAATAAATCTTAATTTTATATAACAAACAATCCGTGAAGGGAAAAAGTACTAAAGTATCTCTATTTCCTGTTTTTCCAGTCCCCGTGATGCCACCGCCGCCGATTGCTTGGAATCGTTAGCAACGGGCCCCGAAAAATGGCCTCGATCTTGGGAGACGGGACGGACCCAGGGGGCTCGGGGCCCTCCCGATGCCTGTTGCTCCTGCAAAGGTCCCTCGCGATCCAGCTGACCAGAGGCCCGCCTCCGCAGGTTCTGAACGCGAGCCAACGCGAGAGTCCCAAGGAGCATCCAGCCGACGAGATGTGGATGTACGATAAAGGTTACAATTTGTTTCAGGTGAGTCGTCGTGACATTCCCTCCCCACCCATTTTCCTTTCTGATTATCTTCTTCTTTTATTCGGGAAACGAAGAAGTAGTTACCGTTTGCGACTTCAAGAAGAGTTTTACTTTGCGCGAATGATACGAATAATCGTACGACGTGACAGTTGAAATTGTTTCTTGGAACAGATAACAATGTACTATATTCTTGTTCGTAAGTATTACAGCAAATTGTGATGTTGAAATTAATTGTAAAATTGTGTTTATTTAGTCTCGTATAGTATAGTTTATAGTTGAAAATTCATTAAATTGATTAAATATCTCCCCTATAAATTTTTAATATTATTAGAAAGATTAAAGATTTTGAAAAGCCTTGCTCGTCATCGATTATTAAAAAACGAGGCTCCGTTGGACAAGACTGTACCACACGTACGATAAAACCTCTGATGTACCTCTTCCAAACTAGTCGCCAGCCTTTTTTTACAACTCAGCATTCCCGAAGCGAAGATTGGCGTTGATTGGATGCACCGTTATACCGGAATGAGACAATATGAATTACGAGCAATTTCGCGAGCCAACTTTAACAGAGGGAGGGGGGAGGAGCGGAGGGTCCACACTACGAGGCAAAAGAGTTAAGTGGCGGATGTTCTAAGCGGTCTCTGTCGACTGTTCGACTATTCGACGCGTCATAATCCTTTTCGTATCTCTTTTTTTTTTTTTTTTTTTTTTCCATAGCCTTAGGTTTACACGAACGTGACAAAACCACTCCAACACAACCTCTCAACTCTCGTCTCCCCGTAAAAACGATTGATTGCCAATTCATCGAATCGCGACGCTTGCTCGGATAGATGGTTTCCATCGATCACAATCTCTCCACCCTGTTGTCAGGGGTTGTTCAACTCGCGGAAAGGGGAATCAAATTGGGACTCGCCTTTCCGCGAGAAGAGCGGCTCTTCGGTTTCAATGAGCGGTCGCCGGGGGTGGAGCACCCCCTCGAAGAGAGACGTTAACCACGACTGCTTCTTCTCCTCGTAGGAGATAGGGGCGATAGTCGAGATGCACGACAATGACATCTTTGTGTCGATTTTTGACTTCCTGATTTTGACTTCCTTCCTTTCCTTTCAAAGGATCCTTTTGTTAACACCTGTTTTTGGTGGATACGTTTGCGAACACTTTTATATATGATTGTGTAGAGAATAGATGTCGTTTAACCTTGAAGAAAAGAAGTTTTTTTTGACGATTTAAGAAACCAAAGGGAGAGTTTTAAGTTTAAGAAATGAATAGAATAGAGTTGGAATAGAATATCTGTAAAAGATAAAACGTTTTAAATTTATACATCGAATCGAAGATCGTCCAATAATTTCTAAAACTTCTTTGACAATTCATGAAAATCTCGATGATATCTAATACTTTAACTCGAGAAAATTCAGAATATCGAGTCTTATTTTCATGTGGAATGATCAATAGGGTAGGTATAGATCTTAAAAACTTGAACAAACTTTTTCAAAAGTTCCCTTTTTTTTACAAGCTCAGAGGAAAGGATCCGGTGTTAAAGATCAAAGAGGAAGTGTCTCCAAGATCTTTCGAGATGAAAGAAAACTTGTTAAATTGATAAATCGACGGTAGGCAGATGTTCGAGGCACACTCGACAACGCGGAAGAGGAAGGATCGATCGTCAAAGGGCAAACGATAATAACGTCATTCACCCTCCTCTTGTTTTGCATATCGCCACACGATCGCACCACCCCAATGAAAGCTTCCTTCCCCTCTTCTCTCAACTCTCTTTAAACCTAAAAAAGTAGTCGCATGAATAAGCGCGCGTTTAACTCGATCTGGCGCAAGTCTTTGCCACACATTATGAAGCAGATAGATGATAACGGTATCATGTTGATCTCATGTTGTAATTTTGAATAAGATTTTTGTTCGTGTCAATTCATAATTAACTATGTAATTGGAGAATATATGACTCGAGAAATTCTACATAAAGATATAATAATTAAATTTTATTAACACATTTTAAAATAAATGTTATTTATTTTATGTATAATCTCAAAATTTGAAATTACGTTATAAATATGTTAATCAAGTCTCTCGTTATAAAAGGTTAAACTATTTCTACAGAATTTTTTTAATGAAATGAAGAATATATCAGATAATAATGCCTCATTATGTATTTGTAAAATAATTCGCGTTAGTGAACTGTATATTCTCTTTTTCTTTAGAAAATTGCCAATTAAAAAAGTATCCAAAATCTCTATAGATAAACTATATCTGAAATAAACGAACATAATATCATATTTAAATTAAATTAACTATTGACAAAATAAATACTATTGTGGAAACGAATTTCCGAAAGAGATGGCGCAAAAGAAGTTCTCATCATCTGATAAAACGGATTAAAATGGAAAATTAATCGAATTTCTCATACTTTGATTTTCCCCATTTACATTTACACTTAAAGCGAAAAATAATTTGAATGGCACGAAGTAGATCGATTTGATCGTTGAAGAAACGGTGTGAAACCGTGCCGCGCACTCTCGATAAGGGAACGATAATCTTAAGGTGGAATTGGATCAACGCACTGTAATTGTCAGGCTAATTAGAGCCGCGGTTGAAATTGCTACATTTACAGCCGGCGTTATCGTTTCACAATACGTTTACCAGCTTATTTATCGCCATCGTTAATTATTGTTCGCCGCAACTCACTGTTCCATCGAGATATTATCGGCGTATGTACAAAACGATCGAACCGCTGTTTCATTGCCGCTGCCGCAAAAGATTCCATCTCGCGTTCCACGCTGCCCACGTGCGCCGCCGCGTTCTCTTTCGGAATATTATCGCAAACTCGATGGACTCGGAGGATTTAGATAAACATCGGATATCCTATATTCTCGTAAATTTCTCCTAATTCCACGAATCAAGCCTTTGGGACAATTACACGCCGGTAATTGGCTCCGATCGATCGCGAATGATCGCTCTCCTCTCCTCGATCGGCCAATTATTAAGACATTACCCGTATCGAAATCGTTTAGAATGCTTTAAAAAAAATAAAAGGGGGGGTATTGTAATTAGTAATATCTGTGAAATGATCGGATATGAAATTAAACCTGTCCCCCCCTCGAGTCGAGTGAAAGCGCGACGTGCACTGAGCACAATCGAATCGATTTTGCTATAGTATGAACTAGTGTGGATACGGATGAATTTGTGGAAGAAAGCATTTTTAAGAAAACATGGAAGAATCTTGAGAACACATTGCGTATCACGAGATATCTCGTTTTAATGTTTTTCGATCGACGAAAAAGGAATTGAAAACACTGGAAGCAATAATGGGAAAAGGCGAGAAAAAATAAAAGCAAGAAAGTAAAGCAGAAACTAAATATTAATTGTGAATTATGTCGAATTGCACAAAAGAGGAGAATGCTTCTGAAATTAAGATTGTGAAATAATAATTAATCGATTTAATTTTATTTATATAATAAATAATAGTTAAAATGTAAAAAAGCCTACATGATAAATAGATGTATAAGAAATATATAGTAATATTTAAGAATATTTTATAAATGTGAGTTAAAAACTGCATATATGGTATTCTTTTTCTTATTGTTATTACACGTGAAAGAAAAATGAAATTGCAAATTTCGTATCGACATTTAAAGAAAATATTTAATTGCAAATTTAAAGATTAATTTTAAAATTATAATAATTATATTAAAAAATTTATAATTAAAAAAATGAATATATTTATTAATAATAAAGTTAATGATATAAATCTATAATGAAAATTATTATTTTTTATATTTAAAGTATTATTTTTATAAAAATTAATTTTTATAAATCTATTTTTTAATACAATAAAATAATTTCAAATTATCATTATTCTTGAAATTAAAATAATTAATAATATTCAATTAAAAAAATTATTATTAATTATTGAAAGAATAAATATTCATTTAATAATAAATGTTAAAAAAATTGGATATATAGAATAGTTAAATATTAAAATTAAAAATGTTTCGAGCCTTTTATCTTTTCGTCTATCATCTCTCGTGTTACAAATATTTTTTCTGAAGCTACGTGATATCGTTTCATATATCGATAAAAGATATTCTGAGATTAAGACGTTGTACATGGACACTTTGAATTCTACAAAGCTGCTCAATATTGTATCGAAGATAAATATTTCGTGACTTTTCATCACAAAGAAAAGACTGAGGTGTTCTATCAATCCACTGAATGGAAAAAGTCAATTTCTCGAACATTTCGTGATCCAGAGGTTGCACAAGGGGTGAAGAGTTTGCCGAGGGTCGCCGTAATCAAGCCAACGTTGGCGTTCGATGCCAAGGCAAACTTTATCAAAGCCTTTACGAAAAGATCTTCCTCCAAGAAATCGCATCGACATTTAATTAAACGATTATCTTCTTATAACTACGAGAAAAATGGCAAAAATATCCTACGATTTTTCTCGTAGTAATACGCGTTGACAGGACAAAATCATCGGCAGATGAATATTATTATTCATTATTCAAAATCAATTATTCAAAAATCAAAATCGTTTTTAATTTTAATATTTAACTATTCTATATATCCAATTTTTTTAACATTTATTATTAAATGAATATTTATTTTTTCAATAATTAATAATAATTTTTTTAATTGAATATTATTAATTATTTTAATTTCAATATTATACGTAATACAATCGAATTTTTCGAAACAAAATGTAAAAATATTTTAAGTATCCATGTGAAATTTACATATATTGGATCTCAAGTAAAATACTGGTATCAGAATCACGAAAGATATTCCATTCTCTCAGTCTCTTTATTTTCTATTATTTCGCGCCAAGTCCTCCATTCTCTCCCCTTCCACATTAAATAAGACATTCTATTCTATACCTGATACGACAAGAACAATGTCGTAACAACGTAACCACGATAAGAGTCACATCTCAAGAGACAATGTTCTCCCGTTTGATTATAAACACGTTGAATCTCGTGGATGCATAAACAACGTACTCC